GATGTCATAGAAACTTTGTACCAAGAAGTGGGAAAGATTAGTGAGGGTGAAGTCCAGAAAGCTCTGAAAAGAATGAAGAAGGGGAAGGCAGTAGGACCTGATGACCACTGGAGGTTTGGAAACATCTTGGAGAGATTGCAGTGAGGTTTTTTACTCAAATATTCAATGGCATATTTGAGGGTGAGAAAATGCCTGAGGAATGGAGAAGAAGTGTGCTGGTGGCCATTTTTAAGAACAAGGGTGATGTACAGAGTTGTAGCAACTACAGGGGAATTAAGTTAATGAGCCACACGATGAAGATCTGTGAGAGAGTTGTGGAAGCAAGACTTATTCGAGAGGTGACTATTTGTGAGCAACAGTATGGTTTCATGCCAAGAAGGAGCACCACAGATGCCATCTTTGCTTTGAGGATGCTGATGGAGAAGTACAGAGCTTGTCAGAAAAAAACTCCATTGTGTCTTTGCGGAATTAGAAAAAGCATCTGACAGGGTGCCGAGGGAGGAGGTGTGGTGTTGCATGAGGAAATCTGGAGTGGCAGAGAAGTACTGTGTTAGACTAGTACAGGACATGTATGAGAACAGCAGGACAGTGGTGAGGTGCTATAGGAGTGACGGATAGCTTCAAGGTGGAGGTGGGATTGCATTAAGGATCAGCTCTGAGCTCCTTGTTTGCTCTGGTGATGGATGGTGGTGGAATAGTGAAGTGCAGGACGCCATTCAAAGAAAGAAGTTAGCCAAGAAGAAATATGACAGTGAGAGGACTGAAGAGAGGAGACTGGGATATAAGGAGATGGGGCATAGAGCAAAGGGAGTTAGCTAAGGCAAAGCAGAAGGTGTATGATGAGTTGTATGGGAAGCTGGTGACAGATGAGGTCAGACTGGAATCCCTGTGGACTATGATGTTTGCAGATGACATTGTGATCTGTGTTGAGAATACGGAACAGGTGGAAGAGAACTTGGAGACATGGAGGTTTGCACTTGAAAGAAGAGGAATGAAAGTCAGCCGTAGTAAGATAGAGTCCATGTGTGTGAATGAGAGGGAGGAGGTGGAACAGTGAGGCTACAAGGAGCAGAGGTCACAAAGGTGCAGAATTTCAAGGGCTTGGGGTCCACTGTCCAGGAAAATGGGGAGTGTGGTAAAGAGGTGAAGAAGAGAGTCCAGGCAGAATGGAGAGAAGTCTCAGGAGTGATTTGGGACAAAAGGGTATTAGCAAAGGTCAAAGGAAAAGTTTACAAGACAGTGGTGAGACCAGCTATGTTGTATGGTCTGGAGACAGAGACATTGACAAAAAGACAGGAGACAGAACTGGAAGTGGTGGAAATGAAGATGCTGAGGTTCTCCTTAGGAGTGACGAGGATGGATAAAATTAGGAATGAGATCATCAGAGGTACAGCATAGGTTGAACAACTGGGAGATAAAGTTAGGGAGGCCAGACTGAGATGATTTGGACATGTTCAGAGGAGGGACAGTGGGTTTATTGGTAGAAGGATGTTAGAAATGCAGCTGCCAGGGAAAGGACAAAGATGAAGGCCAGAGGAGATATATGGATGCAGTTAGAGAGGACATGGATGTAGTTGGAGAGAGGACAGAGTGAGGTGGAGGAGGATGACTCGCTGTGGCGACCCCTGAAGAGGGAAAAGCTGAAAGAAGACATTGCTTTACAATGCAGCTGTTTTTGTTTAATTTTTTTTAGATTGTTTTCTTCCATTTATCTTTTCAATTTAAATGCCTTTATGATTGTCTACTGTTGTCGTCATTCTTTGTTAAAAACAGGTCTCTCTTGTAAATGAGTCCTCGGCTCAACAAGACTAACCTGTATAAATAAAGGTTGAATGAAATGTAATGCACATTGTCTTACAATCACTTTAATGTAAAATTTTCTTTTGTTCGTTCATCCAGCTCTCCCACGGCATCACACCGGGAAGGAGAAAGAGGGTCTCACTGGCCAATGGCTCTATAACCAGGAGATGAACTCCAGTTCAGACCAGGAGGAACCAGAACTTCCACAGATAAAAGAGAAGCATGAGGATATAGAACTTCCACAGAAAAAAGAAGAACAGAAGAATACAAAACCTCCACAGACAAACCGAAAAACTCTAGAGATGAAAGAGGAGCAGGAGACTGAAATCTTTATGGTAACTCCAGTTTATAATGAAAGAAACCACAAGGAACTAGAACCGAACAGGTACCAACGGCTTTCTCTGTACTCTTCTGAGTCTGAGAACCAAGTTCAGGAAGGAAGCAGAAAAACAGACTCAGGATTCAGCAGAGATGAAGAGCTGAAACAAAATAAGAGAAGTTCACAAACCAGAAGTCACGGCGACAACCTAGACCACCCAAATGTAAAAAGAAACCCCAAAAAGTGTTTTGTGTGTTTGACTTGTGGGAGAAAATTCTCTGTAAAATATAATTTAACAGCTCACATGAGAACTCACACAGGTGAGAAGCCTTTCTCATGTCAGATCTGTGGAAAAACTTTTGCTTTTAGAAG